ATTTGACTTGTCTTTCTTCAACCACCTGAGGAACTACCGGGGGATTGTGGAGTCTGACCAGAGGCTGTGGACTGATGCTTCGACAAGACCCATCATCCAACGATTCTTGGGAGGCTCACCACCACTGAATTTTAACATCGAATTTGGAAGGTCCATGGTGAAGATGAGTAACATTGGCGTCAAGACGGGCACCGACGGTGAAATCCGCAAAATTTGCTCTGCAGTGAACTGACATCCCAATTGTGGATATGGAGAAATTAAAAGGAAAACCTAGTTGCTTTTGAAATTAGTTTAAGCTGATTACGTAATTTTGCTTTTCAACTAAAAAATGGTGATAATGTAAGTCCCAATGGTTAAAAACTTTTCTCTTGTTAAGTAGTAACTTCCTTAGATAAAAAGATTGAGTGATGTATATATCTAAAAATAAAATAAAAAGACCATAGATTGGAGATTATCTTTGGATGCTCGACAAACCAACCCAGGATAAATAAGATATGTACTAACATAGATTTTAAGAAAAAAGACTCTAAAATTGGCAGCGAAGTGCCAAACATCACATGCCTAGAACTAAAATACAATTTCCCATGGTCAACTAGAACAACCACCATGAAACTTCAGCCCTAGGAGGTTCTACCTTCACTATGCTGTCTCAAGTTAAAAATTGAGTTACAGGGCAGGTTAAGCATATAGATGCACGATTATAGAGAATAATTACAGATGGCCAAAATGGTGGCTGATGGGGTGCATGCCATGTAACCTCAGTAGTAAGTTGCATAATACGGCTGAGGAACAGATGCAGGTTGCTGAGCCGGGGTTAATGTTGGGGCAGCAGCTGGTTGCGCATAGCTTTGTTGGGGAATAGTCTGCACAAAATCACACTCTGGTTCAGCTCAAAATAAAAGAGAGAACGACAAAATAAGTGGACTCACATCCCCATTTTTCCCTTAAGCTAAGACATTCATTCCGAACAAAACTGAAATTAGATATTTGGTGCAGGAATCCCTTATAGGGAAAGCAACACATTAATTTTCTTAAAGCAATACAAGCTACGTAAAAAAGACAGGATTCAGGAGTCCCTTAAAAGCAAGACACATCTGTATGGGGCGGAGGAAAAACCCAACTTGCTATTAAGTGCTTTTGTAAAGGAGACACTAAGACTTTAGAATGATACTATCATTCACACTTATCTCCGTCATTTCTGAGTCCAAAAGTACATAATCAGTGCTCTCAGAACAGGAAATGGACAACTATATTTTTGCAAATAAAAATAAGAAAATAGATTGTTTTTGGTAAATAAACAAGAAATTAAGAAAACAAGAACATCATGTTGTTGATCTCAAAAACCTTTACACATACCAGAAGAACCTTAAAAGAAATTTGAAGCTCAGTTCCTTTGGAACAGTTCATACCTGAACAGGATATGTAGAAGGATAAGCAGCATATCCAGCACTTTGTGGCACTGATGTGGGCACTTGTGGAGCAACATAATTGCTACCATAACTACTGTATGCACCATATGCAGCCTAACATCCAAAAATTCAAACATAAGCAACTGTCAAAGAAATTATAATACTTTAGCTCATTGATTCAAATAGAGGGATCTTAGCCCATTATTAAGATTATTGACTTATAAGGGCTTGTAATAAAGTAAAATTAAGATAATAAGTAGCTTCTAACCATGATAACCTAGCACTAGACTATTTCTCTTGAGGCTTTAAGATCACAAATCCAAGTTTAAAGTATTTCAAAGGCACAGACTGTTCAGAACTATCGCCAATAAGAAACAGTGCCAACAAGCCCACAATAGTTGTTAATGAGACAAGAATAGGAATATAATGTAAAAGGCCAGCATAAATAACCATAGACTGGCATGCCCTATCACTCAATTTAAAAATTCAAATAGCATCAATATTGGGAGACTACCGGTTGGCTATAGCCAGGGGCCCACTGTTGTGCCTGTGTTGTAGATGGCCAAGTTTGAGGCTGTACACCATAACCAGCAGGCCACTGGTTTTGAGTGTTTGGGTAAGAACCCATCAAAGATTGGGCAGCTGAAGGGGCACCAGGGTAAGACTTTGCCAACTTTGTCTTATCTGAAGTTAGAAAATCTTCTGCATGACGTTTCCTTAACTCTGATATTGGCCTGTGAGGTAAAAAGAGCTTGGCATGCCGATCTTCTGCCTTCTTGATAGATTGTACATCACCAAAGAAACCCAAGAACTGCAAAATTATTTCTAAACATGAGAACCACATACATTTGCATGAAAAACTCAAAGATACATAAAAATCTTTGGACCAAAAGAAGAAAATGCTGGAAATTTCCATTGTTGAACCAAAATATTTCAGTGATTAGTTATTTGTTCCATAAGACCTATAACCCAAAAATACATAAACAGATGGAGGTAAAATCAAAAAATTTTTTATCACTATAGAGTATCAACTACATAAGGCTGACTTTAAGCATCAGAATTCAAAGCAAGCCTCAATTGTTAACCTTTTCTCCTAGACAATAAAACATGTCAGTTTTCTGTTAAATGTTTCTTTCACAAAAATTACCTCCAAGAAGATGGCAGATATATCTTCCTTTTCAGCAGCACTTGCAGTTGATGGGCTATCTGAGCTTGGCACCATAAACTTATCAACCAAGGAATCTAAATAATCAATCTTCCTAGGTGGTGGCAGAATTGTTTCAAAATGTATTAATGCCTGCAGATAAAGCAAAGACAAAAAGCAAGCAGAAGTTAAATAATGCATCTCACAATTCAAACATATCTCACGGAATGTACCAAAAAAAAAAAAAAACCATATCTCCTGGAAAATTAGATATCTGTGTGTGTGTAATATTGCCTAACCTCAAGAAATGGTTTTGACAGTTGAACAAGGTCAAGGGCCCCAGTTAGAATCTCCCTAGCCTTCTCCGCATTACCAGAGACCTACAGAGAAAAAAAGGAAAGAGGGAATGAGCAGTATTCAATTACCTTAGGCAAAAAAGGATGTAAAGAGAAGAAATTAAACATAAATAATGAGGAACTGGGCATGTGAAACAACTGATCAATACCTACCAAATATAAAAAACGAGAGTACTGGGCATACAACATTGGTAACATTTGAGATTGCTCTTTCCCTTTTTCAATGGCAATGGCTTGCTCATACAAAGAGAAGGCATCTTCAAGATTCCCCTATAGAATCAATATGAACAACCAATTTAAAACAACAATTAAAAAAAAAAAAAAAAACAGAGAGAGACAGTTTAAAGCGTGCAAGCAAATAATGCAACTGAAACACATAAGGCTTGACTACATAAGCTTACCAGACGGCGTTCCATATTTGCATGCTTAATAATTGCTTCAAGAAGGCCAGGCGAAATTTCGGCATGCACAAGTTGATAAGCAACACGAGCACCTTCTACATCGCCATTGTGCTCTTTGAATCGAGCAGCAAAAAGGTGAATCTCAGGTTGCCTCTATCAAAAGAGTGGTACCAAACAAATAATGAGGAACTTGGGCTCAAACCAGACTTCTTTGCACAGAAAAACTAAAGTTTCAAATAACTACATTAAAAGTTAGAAGAACTAAAGAATGCAAAAAAATCTACTTAACAACAGGTTTGCAGTAACAAAAAGTTCAATCTGTTCCTTTGAACAATGTAGTGAACCATAAACAATGAAGATGAGAAGGAAAAATAAAAAGATGATATCATGTTAGCTGAAAACATGTAAAAGGTAGAAAAGAAGATACCATGTTAAATGAAAAACCTATGTAAAATTACAAATTTGTTTAGTAGAACTAATATGTAAACAAAAGCTAAAGCATTTCCTTTTTCCATTAACATGTTGGTAGAACCATGCCATAAAACATAGGTAACCTCAGATGAAACCCATTTTACTTGAGTTGCAACTCAGTAGCTTTTTCCTTTTATTCAAAACTTCATGAATACTGAAGTTCATACCTTGACAAAGACTTGTGTTGCACGAGCAAGTGCATTATCTGCAAGATCCTTGCTCCCATTGGCTTCCATACATAAAATATAACGTATCCAGTACTCAGGATAATTTGCACAGGCAATTAGGCACCTTTCATATAATTTTACAACCTATTTCACAGTGAAAATGTAAAATATTAAAAGTTCATTCTGATGTTCCAAAACATAACTATACAAATGACAGAAAGCAGAGAGGAGAAATGCATCAGAAATACTCCATGATCGGAACAGAGAGGCCCCTCAAATACCAAGGGAGGGACCCTCCTTGCCTGACAGATAGATGGTTAGGAAGACAAAACACACCTGCATGCATAACATTTGAACTTTAAAAAGAATAAAATTTACCGTAGAATTCATCAGGAACCTAAAAAAATTCGCTAAAAATGAGGGTTTGAAGTACTTAGCCTTAAAGAAACCAAATGGAAGGCCCATGCTTTAGTCTCAGTTCAATTTCCCGTTTAAAAAGTTGCTTCATCCAACGAATTAGCCAATAAAGCAAATGATGCAGCAGATATTACTTGACTGTAAGTATATAACAAACAGTACAGCTAAACACTACAAACCACAAATATATTGAAGGATAGACAAAAACAAACTCTAATACCTTGTTGAAGTCACCTTCTCCCTCTATAAAATCCAGATAGTAATGCCAATTTTCAAGCTCAGCAACACTGAGGGGCCTTACATGGAAGTAGGGCCTCCTAATAGCCGTTTCAAAACCAACGATCTTGGAATCGAACTCTTTAGCTTTCTTATACATCTCTTCTCTTATGGAGATATACTTCTCCAATTCTTCTGCCTCAGTTAAGCCAGCACTTATAGGTTTTTCTGCACCACCAGGAGGAACCTCTCCCTCATTTTCTAGTCCACCAGCCCCTGAAACTGCTATAGCAGCAGCTTCCTCAGCAGTCCTTAATTCTGACAAAGGTCGACTTCCCGCTAACTCTTTAAAACTGCACAAAGATTAGCACCATGATAAAATTATAAATTACAGCAGGACGTGCGAGATGAAAAAAGCACTCAATATATTAGTATTTACAGATGCACCAGAAAAATTTTTAAAGCATAAATATGTCATTCATGTGAGGCACATTATTTGATCCATCTATTGCTTTTGTCTATAACTTACATGGTAAAGCTGAACAACCAGAAAATGAGTGGTGAGACAGTCGAGAGTCATGGGACCCATTAAATCAATTTTAGGATCAAACAAGCATAGTTCAAGCCATCCCAACAGAGAAGGGAAGACAAGAAAATACATACAAAGAATCATAATGAGGTGGCAAAATGCTTGTATCAAGAGAAAGGTTTCATTTATTTAACAAAACATAAACAGACAAATAAATATGCACACATAAAAAAGAGCTTACCTGTTGAAGTATTTATCCAGATGTTGAATCGCAGTCTCTAATATCCTAGTATATATCATGGCAAGCCGACCCCACTCCTGGTGCATATATTCATATTCAATGTATTTATCCCAGAGAGGGAAAGAGAGATAGTCACTTCCAACATACTCTAATCCTCGTTCAAAAAGCCTGGAATACCATGAAAACAAAACTTATTTTAATACATAAATGGGTAAACCCATCCTGTGAATGCAGACATGTCAAGACAATGGGACCAATGTTGAAGGAGAAGAACAATTCACTCATGACACTTCCAAACGCTGCATTTACCTTCCTGATAAAAACCATACTATGTCCGAAATGAAGCAGTGATAGAGGCCATCTTAGCCCTTAACTGGATGAGATCTTCCCAGCAGCATTTTGCATATTCATGCACCTCAAGAGTGTCAAGGTTAAAGATATTTTCAAAGATAACTACATGACTATGATGCAGGCCTTGAAGAGGAGGGAGAAACAGGAGGACTAAAGAGCTCAGACTCAAATTAAAAGGCCTAACACAATTTCAACTGCTACACATTTTTTTTGGTAAATCAACTGCTACACTTGGTAGCACTAAAATCAAGAGTTAACACACTTCTAAAGTGCATTCCCATCAAACCTTTCCGCCAAAATGTGAGGAACCACTGTTTCAGGCATACCGAAATAATGTCAGAATGCAACAATAATCACCAGATTCTTATGACTAGGAAAATCATGCAAACATCATCTCCTAATGCAGACCAACAACAACAATGGGTATATGAACACTTATTACCTTCGAATCGTTTCAGGATCTCCATATGTTTCCATGGCAAATGTACAATAGAGCAACCAAATGTCAACTGAATATGTCACTCCCAGAACTGCGCTTTCATAAACCTCTACAACTTTGTCCATTGAACCTATGCGAGCTTCGTGGTCTGCATACTTTTTCCAATAACCATAACACAAAGGGAACTCAGCCAAGAAAGCATCATAAACCTTTCGAATTTTGAGTATATTACTCTGCATACAAAGCGTGTGTAAGAACATCAGTGTCACAATAAAATTAACAATACTAGCTAGGTCAAAATCAAATGAAGATAGCGAAGGCAAATAGAAGGAGAAATTACTGAGTTTGATGATAAGGATGGCTTACATATCACTTCACTCTATACCCAACCCCAAAAACAAATTTTAATCTTTCAAATCTACCTATGCTAGTAGTATTAATATGTTCAAGTCAGTCGCAGTCAGATATCAATACTTGAACAAGAACAAAAAAAAATCAATATTCAGAAAAAGCAAAATGACACAATAGAAACTTTCTTCAATAGAGTATATGCCCAAACATACCTCTGCTGCCTTCTCTGTTTCTTCAATTAGAGCAGTCCATGCATTAAAATCCAAGGAATTAGCTCTGACAATACTCCACAAATGTTCTTCTTCACCAGACAAAGCTAGCACTAAAAGTTTAAAAGAGGGAAATGAGCATGAGACAATCTAGAAGAATATCACAGTACTTACTGTTGCATATTTATTTATCACATGAAATTAAAAAAAGGGGTAAATAAACCTTTAACAGAAAACTGGACACTTTTAAACCAAAATGAATAATGTTTTTAATTAAGAATTAAGAAAGAACTTGAGTATGGCAGACATTTAGTTTAGATAGGAAAAGGACGCCCTGGTCCCTGAGACAACATTAATTGTGGAGGTTTAATGAATAAGAGATTAGAGAGAGGGTTCATTTTGTTTACATGGATAAAGGTCTAGTCATGTGGATGTGGTGTGTAATTTGAGATTGTAACTGATAGAAGAATAAAAATGAAATATGACAGTCACTTCATAATATACTTATTTTTTGCCAAGATGCAGTTGGCATGCAATAAAGAATATAGAGGAAGGTTTTACTAAGTTCACTATATTGTTGATCAACTAAATTATAGATTATATGCTAGACCCTTTAGCCAGGGCATTCTTGCATAGGCACCAAGATAAGGTGACGCTAAAAGCACCTCATCCCTCACCGAAGCAGGGAGAATTGGATGATGTGCTCATCATCCAATTCCTAGAAAGCCAGGTAAAGGGCAAATGCCAGCATCTCATTAAAACAAATCTTTTTGTACTCCAATTTTGCAGGAAAGTTCAATCATTTAAGAGTAGTAGTGTTCAATAAGAAAACACAGATTTAGTCACTTGAAAGAACCAGTCATATTTTGCTACATTGGTGTTCATAACTTCTTGCACTGACATGTTAACAATAATGCCATTATCAGCTTCACGGAACACTTTTCTTGCACATAGCATACCTCACAGGAGGCAAATCAAAGTTGAAAAAAATTTCATAACTTAACAAATACATATCACATATCAGAGAATACATACCAGAACCATCTACAAAATCTGATGCACCAGAAGCTCCACTGACATTATCTAAAACATTTCCACTGACTACCGTTCCAACATTTACTGCATCACTAACACCACTCCCGTTCAAAGCCGAACCAGAAGCATTGCCATCAGTAGCAGGCTGACTTTCGTTGGGAGCAGAACTAAGATCACCAATATAAGCATTTTCTTCAATTGGTGCGGTATAAGATCCATCTGCTGGAATACCAGCAGCCTCAGATGAATATGCAACGGTACCAGGAACAGCATTCGACGCAGCATCAGCATAGCCAGTGGCGGCATAGCCTGCGGATGTATAACCCATCACCGCTGATGTTTTGGCAACCACTGTTTCACTATCTCCCGTACTTGATTTCAAGAAAACCTTTTGCCTAGAAGTTGAATTAAATCTACAAGAAATTAGATTCGGATTCAAACCTCCAAGCAATCCCTAGCCCAACGTCTAACAATAAAACCCTAAATTAGGTATTAGCAACCGCGAACGGAAGGCGGAGCTGGTGCTGATTACGAAGCAACAAAAACGGATGGAGACGTACCTGAGACGGAGAGACGGCGGGGTTCGAGAAAGTTCCGCATTCACAGAGCCTGCTCTTCGGGAGTGAACGGAGTATTTCGTAGCGTAGTTGTAGAGTGTTCTTTGAGTTTCGTTTCCTTGATGCGGTCGCGGGTTTGTCATGTAAACAAATCTGGGCCGTTTATGACCTGGGCCTATAATTTTGGATTATGCTTTCGCTTAGGCATTGAGCACCAATTGACTTTGAGCCCTTGAAGTTGATGACTTCGACGATTAGGCCCAAAAAGTTAAACAGAATAGGCACGTGTCTCACGTGCCCGTTTTTGTTTCATCTTGTCCAACACCTCTGCGCCACGTATTCCTCTTCTTACGCTTTTGGGATGCCACGCTGGCAACTGAGCGGGAAAAAACCCGCTCTTTTTTCTCGTTGGGCTCCGCAATGTTTTCCAATTGACTAAGAACAATAATACTATAGAAACAATATTTTTATTTTATTT